GGCAAGTCTTGTCCTCACAAACCCTGTTAACTGCCCTTCCTGTAGGGGTTCGTCTGGCCAACTCGTTTGACTAAAATTGCTGCTCCCTCTAAACAAACCACGGCATATATGGCGGGGCCTTTTCCGAAGTTCTGCAGACTCACTTCCGGGTAGAGGTTAGTGTCCAATGAGCAATAAATTGAAACCTGAAGCTCCTGGCTTTGACTGCACAATACCTTTGCATTGATCTGGTGAGTTACTTGATCGTGACTCTTACCTTATGTTACAATAATTTAAAGTTTTTAGCAAACTAGCTACCATTCTTTCAGGAAACCTCCTCCATAAACTGTTTTAAAACATTTTTTAAAGATTTAAGTGGGGGGGGGGATTATCTCTTTTTTAATTATTTTCCCAATTTAATTTCAAAGGATATTCAAAGTAGTAAACATTATATTCTTAAAAAACGCTTTTTTTTTTTTTCCCCCCTGGCTGGCATGGTTCAGTAGATTCAGCACCTGTCTGTGAACTGAAAGGTTGCTGGTTCAACTCCCAGTCAGGGCATATGCCTGGGCTGTGGGCCTGGTCCCCAGTAGGGGGTGCTCAAGGGGTAAACAATCCATGTTTCTCTCACACATGGATGTTTCTCTCCCTCCCTTCCCCTCTCTCTAAAAGTAAAGAAAATCTTATTTTTAAAAAAAACGTATTTTCAAAGCATCATCTCCTTTAATCCTCACGATAGCCCTGTGAGCTCAGACCTCCTAATGAGCCCCTTTATAGATGAGGAAACTGAGGTTCAGACGGGCTCCACAACTTCTTTGAGTTCACAAAAGCAGGGCCCAGATTTGCTGAAATTCAAACCCAGATTTGCTGAAAAGATCAGCTTTTGAACCATTTACTATAGGTATATAATTACCATGTCTTACAGATCATACTATTTTTGAAGATTATTGATAAATATAAATTTCAGAGCTGATGGCTAAGTAGGTCAGTAACCTGGCTTCTTGCCTTCCTTCACTTATGTGGAGACTACAAAGGCTAACAACATCTTTTTTACATTATATTTTATTGATTATGCTATTACAGCTGTCCTGGTTTTATCCTCTTCTGCCCCCTTCCATCTGGAACCTCACTCCCTCAGGCAATACCCTCACCATTGTTCATGTCCACGGGTCACATGTGTAAGTTCTGTGGCTACTCCATTTCCTATATACTATGTTTTACATTCCCATGGCTACCCTGCAACTACCTGTTTGTACTTCTTAATCCTTTCAGTTCTTCACTCATTCCCCCACATCCCTCTCCCATCTGGCATTAATAAAAATACTCTCTGTATCCATAATTCTGTCTTCGTTCTTCTTTTGCTTAGTTTGTTTTTTAGATTCAATTGTTGATAGATATGTATTTATTGCCATGTTATTGTTCATAGTTTTGATCTTCTTTTTCTTAAATAAGTCCCTTTAATATTTCATATAATAATGGCTCTGTGATGATGAACTCCTTTAGTTTTTTCTTATCTGGGAAGTTTATTTGCCCTCCAATTCTAAATGATATTTTTGCTGGGTAGAGCAATCTTGGCTGTAGGTCCCTGCTTTTCATGACTTTGAATATTTCTTGCCAATCTCTTCTAGCCTGTAAAGTTTCTTTTGAGAAATTAGCTGATAGTCCTCTGGGAACTCCTCTGTGGGTAACTACTTTCCTTTTTCTGCTTTTAAGATTCTCTCTTTATCTTTAAACTTTGGCATTTTAATTATTATGTGTCTTGGAGTGGGCCTCTTTGCGTCCATCTGGGACTCTCTGTGCTTCCTGGACTTGTATGTCTGTTTCCTTCACCAAATTAGGGAACTTTTCTTTCGCTATTTTTTCAGATAGATTTCCAGTTTCTTGCTCTTTCTCTTCTCTTTCTGGTACCCCTATGATGCAAATGTTGGACCTTTTGAAGTTGTCCCAGAGGCTGCTTAAACTATCCTCATTTTGGGGGGGTTCTTTTTTTCTTCTTGTTGTTCTGGTTGATTGTTGGTTTTTTGTCTTCCTTTTGTTCCAAATCATTGAGTTAATCCTCAGCTTCATACAGCCTACTGTTATTTTCCTATAAATTGTTCTTTATTTAAATGAGTGTATCCTTTGTTTCTGACTGGATCTTTTTTATGCTGTTGAGATCCTTACTAAGTTCCTTGAGCATCCTTATAACCAGTGTTTTGAACTCTGCATCTGATAGATCGCTTATTTCCATTTTGTTTAGCTCAGGAGTGTCTAACTTATGGCCCGTGGGCCTTAAGCAGTCTAGGATGGCCATGAATGAAGTCCAACACAAAATTGTAAATTTATTTAAAACACTGTAAGATTTTTTTTTATGATCACATGTTACAATGTATTTCATATGTGGCCCAAGACAAATCTTCCAGTGTGGTGCAGAGATGCCAAAAGTTTGGATGTGCCTGGTTCAGCTCTTTTTCTGGAGTTTTGGCCTGTTCTTTCATTTGGGTTATGTTTCTTTATCTCCTCATTTTGGAAGCCTCCCTGCATTTGTTTCTATGTATTAGGTAAAGCTGATTTGACTCCGTGTCATGGTAGTGTGGCCTAATGTAGTAGGTGTCCTGTAGGGTCCAGTGGCACAGCCTCCCCTATCACACAAGCTGGGTACTCGAGGTACACCCTTCATGTGGGCTGAGTACACCCTCCTTTTGTAGTTGAGCCTTGATTGCTATTGGCAGATCAATGGGAAGAAGTTACGCAGGCCAGTCAGCAGCAAGGACTGGCTGTGACCACTTACCACGAACCTCCACCTTCCGTGGATGATCAGCTGTGCAGGGGCAGGGTGGTGATGCTCTTACTTGATCTGTAGCTGTCCACTGGCTGTGCTGGCCTTGGCATTTCCCAGGTGGTGCAGGCCAAGTTCAGTGCCCACCTGTGTGTTCTGCTCAGGACCATTCTGCCTGAACTATAAAGCAATCTGAGATGGGTGCCACTTGTGCTGGGCTTGGAGATTCCTAGGTGAAACTAAGCTGTGAATCTAGGCTGGCTGATGCTAGTACCAGGCCTGGGGCTCACTGAGGCCAGCTGTTGCTTGTGTGAGAGGATTTAGGAAGTTGTACGGTATGAGCTAAGACCATCTATTCATGTGGAAAAGCAGCTTGTGTGGGTCCATAAGTTGAATGGGCCAGAGTCTCTGGGGATCTCCAAGGCAGGTCAAATAATATTAGCCATGTTGATGGAGTTTCAGATATGGCACCAGCTTGCTGTCTCTGTCGGGGGAGAGTTTAGAAAAGGGACAGTGGCTTCTGCTTGCCTTGATGCCAGATACTTTATTTCCTCCCTTGTGCCATTGGTGCCTTTCAAGTTTCTACCCCAGTGCTGGAGTTCAGAGCAAGTGAGTATGAGTTGGTGAGTCCATGTATGGGTTCTTTTTTTTTTTAACATGATTTGTTCTTTTTTTAAATAAAATGTTTTATTTTATTTATTTATCTTTTAGAGGGGAAGGGAAGGAGAGAGGGAGAGAAATATCAATGTGTGGTTGCCTCTTGTGCATCCCCTGCTGGGAATTGGCCTGCGACCCAGGCATGTGCCCTGACTGGGAATTGAACCGTGATCCTTTGGTTCACAGGCCCACGCTCAATCCACTGAGCTACACCAGCCAGGGCTGTATGGGTTCTTTAAGAGGAACTGCTTGGGACTCCAGAAGTTTCTTTCACTGACTCAATCCCCACTGGTTTTCACAGCCAGAAATTGTGGGGACTTATTTTCCTTTCACTGGAATCCTGGGCTGGGGGGGCACTGGTGGCAGTGGCTGCAGAGGTGGCACCCTGGGGTGGGGCAGGGCTGGGAGATCCCGCCCCACCATGTGGGCTGATATTACATTCTTAAATAGCATATTCATGTAATCAAGCATATGAATTCATGAAATATGTAATTATAACTCGGTATGTATCAGCTCAGTTCTGTATTTTTTACATGTCCATATCTTCATTTTAAATCTTACAAGCTCACATAGTTACATATTTATCAAGTTATATGGAATTAGCATTGGCAGAAAATATGGGACATATGGTTACTATGTGTAACACAAAGCCTTAATGTGATAGCAAGAACTTGACACAGGGAATAAGAGGCCAGGCTCTAATCCCAGAGCTGCCACTAAATAAAGATGGAATTTAGCACAAGTCATTGAATTTCAGTGAACATAAGGTACATCTTTTGAAAAATGATGGGACTGGACAAAATGTTAAATTATTTTCAAGGCCCCTTCCAGATCTGTGATTCTGAGTTTCTGCAGAGTAGCAGGGAAAGCGTACAAGCTGAGAAACATTATCATTCATAAATCATGTTTCCCTTAGTTAAAATATGTGCCAAGTGGCCAATATGTGATCTTCTGTATTTGGTCCACTCTGCCTGATTCTACCTCCCATATCATAGGAAACTATTAGGAAAGAAATAAATGGTTCTTTTTTTTAAATTAAGAGATTAATTATTAATTAATCCAGAAAATTTGGGAAAAAATATAAAGGTAACACACACACACACCCATGATCACATCATTCAGAAAGAATCCTGTCATTGTCCTATTGCTTTTCTAAATATGCATTTTTTTCAGTGATATAACATAGTCTGCAGCCTGACCTGGACAGGCAGCTCAGGTGGTTAGAGTATCCTCCTGATACAGCAAGGTTGTGGGTTCCATCCCTGGTCAGGACACATACAAAATCAACCAATGAATGCATACATAAGTGGAACAACAAACTAAAGTGTGTGTGTGTGTGTGTGTGTGTGTGTGTGTGTGTGTCTCCCTCCCTTCCCTTCTTCACTCTCTCTAAAATCAATTTAAAAAACAACAAAACAGCCTTCAGGCTACTTTTTTCACTTCAGAGGTGTATGTAACTTCCCCACAACTGGTTGGAATACCCACAATAATAGGCCCACATGCCAATAAGATGGGACACAAACAAACGTTGTTATATAGAGTTTGGAATAGCTATAATTCTATTATGCCCTAGGCTATTCTTACTCTTTCTTTTTATCTGCTTCAGAATGGATTGGTTTCACTGTAACCGGTGTTTCCGAAAAGATGGGGCCCATTTCTTTGTCACCAGCTGCGGTCATATTTTCTGTAAGAAGTGTGTGACTCTGGGTGAGTGACTTACCTGTTTTCAGAATCAGGCAAAAATGTTTTTAACTTGGAAATAATGATTCGCTATTTCTCTGTGTGATGGGATAAAAATCACTTAGTAGGACATAGGTGGTGTGGATAGAGTAGAATACTGTCGATTATGGAAATTGGAGGAATCTATTAATAAAGAATGATTTAGCAAATGGAATACCAATTACTTGAGCACCAAAAGATACTTGTCAGTGTTTTTTAAAATTTTTTTAAAAGATTTTTTAAAATTTATTTTTAGGGGGGAAGGGAAGGAGAGAGGGAGAGAAACATCAATGTATGGTTGCCCCTCGTGCATCCCCTGCTGGGAACTGGCCTGTAATCCAGGCATGTGCCCTGACTGGGAATCGAATTGCGATCCTTTGGTTCACAGGCCCACACTCAATCCACTGAGCCATACCAGCCAGGGCACTTGTCAATGTTTTGAAGCCTGTGGCAGTAAGAAAGCCACAAGATTATCAAACTGATTAGAGAAAAGAGAAAAAATAATAATGAGTAGGAATAGGGGAAAGTTTGGTTGATAACAAGAGCCATATCTGAAGGGAAGTGGTCTAGCCTGTGAAATCAATTTGATTAGAAATGATGGTGGTGGTGGTGGTGGTGATATCTTTGCAGTTTAAAAAGTATTTTCACATGTACCAATTTTATGTATTCTCACCACAATCCTAGGAGGTAATTATCAATAGACCCACTTTACAAATGAGGAACTGGTTCAGATGCGTGATTTGATCAAATTCTTACAGATATTAAGTCTTAGAAGTAAGACTTGAATTTAAGGTGTTTATTTATTTTTTATTTGTTTATCTTTAGAGGGGAAAAGAAGGAGAGAGAGAGAGAGAAATATCAATGTATGGTTGCCTCTCATGTGTTCCCTGCTGGGAACTGGCCTGCAACCCAGGCATGTGCCCAGACTGGGAATTGAACCACGATCCTTTGGTTAGCAAGCCCATGCTCAATCCACAGAGCTACACCAGCCAGGGCTTAAGGTGTTTTTTTTAAATGCTAAAACAGTTACAAGGTAAGGAAGTAACCCAGAGGAGGGACTTAGAATAAAGTACTTTGATCAGGAAAGATTTTATAGGAGAGATGTTGCTTCAATTGAGTTTTGACTAATAGATGGAGTTTGCCAAGTAGATAAGCAAGGAAGATCATTCTAGTTCAAACAATAATATGTATAAAGTCATACCACATCATAAAACCATAGTGCAGTGGGCTATGCATGGTTGAGATTTGTGGAGTGTAAACAATAAGGTAAGGTTTTTCCCCCTCTCTTAAAAATATAGATAAATAAAATAGTTATGCCCTGGTTGGTGTGGCTCAGTGGACTGAGCATAGTCCTGTGAACTGAAAGATTGCAGGTTTGATTCCCAGTCAGGGCACATACCTGAGTTGGACACCATGTCTCCAGTTGGGGGTGTGCAAGAGTATCTCTTGCACCAATGTATCTCTCACACTTTGATGTTTCTCTTCCTCTCTTTCTCCCTTCCTTCCCCTCTCTCTAAAAAATTAAATAAAGAAAATAGTTAAAAAGAAAAAAAGGTAAGATTGGGGATATATGAGTCTAGGTAGGTAGGCAGTGGCCAGATGATGAAAGGCTGTATAATCCAGGCTAAAGAAACTGAACTTTATCCTGCAGGTGACGGAGAGCTGTGCAAGTTTGTTTGTTTTGTGTTTTTCTTAAATAGAAGAATGATTTGTACTTGCTACCTTACTCTGGCAATAGTATGGAGGGAAGACTGGGAAAAACCTTTAATCCCAAGGAAAGAAGGGTTAGGACAGGTAGCCTCTGGAGAACCTTTTCTCTCTCTATCAGTGATTTTTCAACCCGTGGGCCACAGCACAGTAGTGTGCTGCAAGAATTTTTAAAACATGCAACACCTGAGTATTTAGTAAGAAGCAGTGACATCTTAAATGACAATAGCCAACACAACATTAGCCGTCCAATAGGAAAGAATCAAATTTATATTAATTGAGGACTTCTGGCCAAGTAGGTGTAGGTGTACGTGGAAATACCGTACCTCCTCGCACAACAAAATTTAAAAACAACAAAGATTTAGAAACAAAAATACAACTAAAACAGACAGAAAATTGAACTGTACTGAAGTCCGACAACAATGAATCATTCATCCAGACTGGTGCAAAGAGATCAAAACATTATGGCTCAAGCAGAAGAACAACTCAAAGTGCCAGAGCCAATACTTCTAAGCGACCAAGAGATAGCCAACCTTTAAGATGCACAGTTCAAAATACTGGTGATCAGGATGCTCACAGAACTGGTTGATTTTGGTCACAAATTAGAGGAACAAATGGAGGCTAAACTAATTGAAATGAAGGGAAATGCACAGGAAACCAATAGTGATGGAAAGGAAACTGGGACTCAAATCAAGGGAGTGGAACAGAAGGAAGAAAGAAACATCCAACCAGAAAAGAATGAAGAAATAAGAATTCAAAAAAATGAGGAGAAGCTTAGGAACCTCCAGGACATCTTTAAATGTTTCAACATTCAAATTATAGGGGTGCCAAAAGGGAAGAGGAAGAGCAACAAGTGGAAAACTTCTTTGAACAAATAATAAAGGAGAACTGCCCCAATCTGGCAAAGGAAATACACTTCCAGGAAATCCAGGAAGCTCAGAGAATCCCAAAGAAGTTGGACCCAAGAAGGAACACACCAAGGCACATCATCATTACATTAGCCAAGATGAAAATGAAGGAGAGAATCCTAGAAGCAGCAAGAGATAAGGGGACAGTCACCTACAAAGGAGTTCCCATCAGACTGTCACTGGATTTCTCAAAAGAGACCTTACAGGTAAGAAGAGGCTGGAAAGAAGTATTCCAAGTCATGAAAGGCAAGGACCTACAGCCAAGATTGCTCTATCTAGCAAAGCTTTCATTTAGAATGGAAGGGCACATAAAGTGCTTCTCAGATAAGGTCAAGTTCAAGGAGTTCATCATCACCAAGCCCTTTTTATATGAAATGTTAAAGGGACTTATCTAAGAAAAAGAAGATAAAAAAGATGAACAGTGAAAGGACAGCAAACTCACAGTTATTAACAACCACACCTGAAACAAAAGCAAACTAAGAGGACAGCTAGATCAGGAGTGGAACCATAGAAATGGAGATCACATGGAGGGTTAGCAACAGGGAAGGGGGAGGAAGAGAAGGGGGAGAAGGTACAGAGAATAAGTAGCATAGACGATGAGTAGAAAATAGACAGGGAGAGGACAAGAATAGTATGGGAAATGTAGAAGCTAAAGAACTTGTGACACATGGACATGAACTAAAGGGGGAGAATGGGGGGTGTGTGCAGGGTGGAGGGGAATGAAGGGGGAAATGGGACAACTGTAATGGCATAATCAATAAAATATATTTTAAAAATTTATATTAACTTTTTTTGTCAGATCAGCAAAATATATAGTTTTTGGTGTGCCACAGGATTTTAGTAATTGCTTTATGTGTGCTATGAGATGAAAAGGGTTGACAATCGCTAATCTGTGTGAATCTTATGAACATTTAAAATGATCTCTTAATGTAACAAAGCCCTTGACTATGGTGACAGCAGCTCACTTTGGAGTGGTTTGTCTCAATGAAGCATATGCCATGTGATATTTTCTCCTGACATGGCATTTATCTTTTTTAAAAAGATTTTATTTATTTATTTTTAGGGCAAGGGTAAGGAAGGGAGAGAGGGAGAGAAACCTCACATCAACATGCTGACGTGCAAGAGAAATCAGTCGGCTGCCTCTTCTTACACAGCCACAGTCGGGGACCTGGCCTACAACCCAGGCATGTGCCCTGACTGGGAATTGCTGTAGACCCTTGGTTTGCAGGACGACTCTCAACTAGTGAGCCACACCAGTCAGGGCCTGGCAAAGCATTTATCTTAATCAATAACCGGCACCACTGCTCAGATTTCAACTTACAAGGAAAAATTGGGAATTTTAATTTTCTCATCCTTCAGACAGAGTTAATTAGAGAATGAGAGTAGGATATCTAGGAAACAAGATCTAGGAATATTAGCAAAGTGAAAACAGGGCAAGAAAAATTGGGGAGTTCTTACAGTATGTAATGTGTGCCTACTGTCAGGGAGGTGGGATAATGAAGAGTAACTTAAAGTTGAGATCATCAGTACTCTTGTACTCTTCCTAGTACTCTTGTAAATGTACTCGGTACTCCTGCTGAGTCATTAGAACTGGCCCTTACCCACAGAAGAAAATTGGGAATTTATAAACAGGGAGATGGGTAGAAGTACAGTTTGAAAATTTTGCCATCAACACACAAGTTTGGAAATGCTGATTTAGAGAATGGAGCTCAAGTTGATGTCTTTTTATAGCAAATTGTATTCTAAATTTTTTTCTTCTCTTGCTAGCCTACTTGGCTGTTAGCATGTACTTTAGGAAAATCTTACCTCATATCCATGAAAACCAAACATTTTCCGCTTTTCTCCCCTAGAAAAATGTCTTGTTTGTGGAGCTGCCTGCAAGCATTTGGCTCTTTCTGATAATGTAAGTTTTTCTCTCCCCCATCCTACCCCTGCCACCATTTTATTCCATTCCTGGCCTAGAGAGGATAATTGATAAGTGACTAAGCACTGAAATTTAAAAGAGAAAGAAAGGAAAGAAGAGAAAAAAAGAAAAGAAAGGACTCGCTGATAGCAATTGTAAAAAAAAAAAAAAGGGTAAATAACAGGAGAATTATCTGTGGCTGCTGTTACAGAAACCCAGGGTTAGGATAATAAGGATAGTATAGTCTGCAACTCCTAGAGCAGTGGTGTTCGCTCTGCTCTCTCAGTACAAGGAAGTGGTACCAGGTGCTTTAGAAGGGATGGTACATCCTTTGCCATACTGGGCAGCATTTTATTTCATTCCATTGTGGGTATGCTCAATGTTTTTGTTACTTTCTTCATAGCTGAAACCTCAGGAAAAGATGTACTTCAAAAGCCCTGTGGAGACAGCTTTGCAGCATTTTAGTCACATCTCTCAGGTATGAGAGGCAAAAGTGAAAAAACTGATTCTCCAGGCAAGTTTGAATTGTGTCTTATTTCTTTATCAAAGGTTCTATTTAGATTGCATGTACACAGTGGACAGAATGGACTGATTAGTTTGCTTTTTTCACTAATGATATAAAACTCAACAGTTAACTTTTTCACACTAAAAAATTAATAATTTTATGCAGGAACCACATAAAATTTAGTTTTAGTGTTTAACATTTAATAGCACAACTTACCAAGATCCAGGATGGGAAGTTACCATGTTCAAGAAACTGGGGGTGGGGGGAAATCACTCTCTCAACTAACTATGTAGAGCACGATAAGAATGCACACTTTACAATATAAAACCTGTCTACACGTAGTAATTAGTGGCCAAAAGCCATTTTGTCTTCTCTTGGCTTGTAAAGACAATGTTCCAGATTTCGGTGTAAATTAGCAACCTTCAGCTCTTCTGTGTAGCAGGCATCTTGTTTCCACCTCCCACCTCCCACCCAGTCTGTGTCATGAGGTCTGCAATGTTTTTCTCCAGGGGCATCAATGCAACTACTCTTATCATCATTTCTTCCAGTGATCTGGCTGGACATGGTTGAAATTTATCTTGCATCTGTTGCAGGAGTGCCTGCACCACTGAGGTGAGATCCTGCATGGTCTTGGGGTCAGTCCCAACCATATCCTCAGCTTGCAGCTAAGCAGTGATATCTCAGCAGTTAACTTTTTACTGACCCAGAATCTGTGAAAGGCTGTAAAAACCACTATGTAGCTGACATCTTGCCTTTGTACTTCCTAGTGCTGTTAAGTAATTTGTAAGAATAAAGGAATTTCGGGAGCACAGGGATTGGGGGTAGGCTTGGATGGGAGTAAAAGACAGAAAACTGTACTTTAACAACAATTAAATAAATTTTAAAAAAAGAATAAAGGAAGTTCTAGGGAGCTTTATTATTTTTCTGTGCAGATGAATAAATCATTTAAAAATTGCTTTGAATACAGGGGCTGGCAGAAGTAACATGCTTGAGAGTGTGTGGTTGGTTGGGTAATAATATAGGTGTAATCATTTATAGTTTTCATTTGAACATTTTGCCTGAAATGTCATATGGGTGCTTGAGTGTGATATTATTATGTTACAGAGTTACATGCTTATGACTTTGTAATAAAAAGGGGCTTTATTTGCGCCAGATCTTGTATATAGGCCTGACCCTGCAAACAATGAAGTTAGTGGTCTCTCAACCTTTTGCTTAAAGTTCGAGAATGGATTTCTTGTCTCCCATTCTCACTTCTCAATAATATTTCTTAGCGATGCATATAGATTTAATTTTTCATTTAGTGTTTATAATTGGTCGCCTGAATTTTAGAGAAATATTTTTCTTTTCCTGGTGCATCATCATGTGTTGGCATACATTGACTTGGCCAGGAGCAATAGGAATGTAGAAAAACATACACGACAGAAGACAGGACAGTTGATTGAGAGAGCTCCCAAATTGTAAAGGCTTTGGCCTTTCCCTTCCACTCCAGTTCTCCCCTGAGATTATTTCATAGTCTCAGTGAATTCCTATGTTGGCGTGTTTCTTGAGATTTTTATTGCTGTTCTCCTACTCTTACTTCTCATTCTTAGGAAAGTATCTCTCTCCTAAATGTGAAGAGAAGACTTGGTCATTTTCTGGCTGAAGATGGTAGATTTAATTTTTATTTGGTTTCACTCCTCAGTGCTAACTCTGGTGATAGAGGAAGGGGAATTGAGACTTTGGCTGCATCCTGCTTTTAGCTGCTGGGGTAAAACATCATATTTTAGATACTATTTAACATTATGGGGAGATAAAATCCAGCTGAGGCTGAAGGAAAAATGTAAACAAGGTCACCTGAACAAGAAAAGGAACAGACCTTTAGTTAGTAACTAAACCCAGGATTAATTATTAATAGAGAAATTATACAGTCTGAGTCAACCTACCTAATCATGGGACCAATTATACATGGTTAAATAATCAAGATAAAATAAGTGGAAAGGGTCAGTTAATCATCACTTTAGTAAAGGGCCAGTTTGATGAAGTCAGCAATGTCTGAAAATGTGTTTTCCTAATCTGTGAAGTTGAATAGCTGATCCAAGTAATATCTAGGCTGCCTCATTCAGGCTTCTGCTCAAATTTTCCTTTCTCAGTCAAACCTTTTCTAGCTCTCCTATCTTAGATAATAGCCCCAACACTCTCTACTTGTATTGCTTTATTTTTCATCATAGCTCTTATCTCTAACATTCTATGTTTGTTTAGTGCCCGAATCTGGCACTGAAACGTAGTAAAGTCCACAAGGCAGAGATTTGGTTGGTTTGCTTATTGTTATATACATAGCTTTTCAGATAGTTCTTAATATGCAGTAGGCACTCAAAAATTGTGGAATAAATGAATGAGTATTGATCTAAATATCAATTTATTTTATTTTTAAAATATATTTTATTGATTATGCCATTACAGTTGTCCCATTTCCCCCTTCATTCCCCTCCACCCTGCACATACCCCCCATTCTCCCCCTTTAGTTCATGTCCATGTATCACAAGTTCTTTAGCTTCTACATTTCCCATACTATTCTTGTCCTCTCCCTGTCTATTTTCTACTCACTGTCTATGTTACTTATTCTCTGTACCTTCTCCCCACCTCTCTTCCTCCCACTCCCCTGTTGCTAACCCTCCATGTGATCTCTATTTCTATGGTTCCACTCCTGATCTAGCTGTCCTCTTAGTTTGCTTTTGTTTCAGGTGTGGTTGTTAATAACTGTGAGTTTGCTGTCCTTTCACTGTTCATCTTTTTTATCTTCTTTTTCTTAGATAAGTCCCTTTAACATTTCATATAAAAAGGGCTTGGTGATGATGAACTCCTTGAACTTGACCTTATCTGAGAAGCACTTTATGTGCCCTTCCATTCTAAATGAAAGCTTTGCTGGATAGAGCAATCTTGGCTGTAGGTCCTTGCCTTTCATGACTTGGAATACTTCTTTCCAGCCCCTTCTTACCTGTAAGGTCTCTTTTGAGAAATCCACTGACAGTCTGATGGGAACTCCTTTGTAGGTGACTGTCCCCTTATCTCTTGCTGCTTCTAGAATTCTCTCCTTCATTTTCATCTTGGCTAATGTAATTATGATGTGCCTTAGCATGTTCCTCCTTGGGTCCACCTTTCCACCTTCTTTGGGACTCTCTGAGCTTCCTGGAATTCCTGGACATCCTGGAAGTGTATTTCCTTTGCTAGATTGGGGAAGTTCTCCTTTATTATTTGTTCAAAGAAGTTTTCCACTTGTTGCTCTTCCTCTTCCCCTTTTGGCACCCCTATAATTTGGATGTTGAAACATTTAAAGATGTCCTGGAGGTTCCTAAGCTTCTCCTCACTTTTTTGAATTCTTATTTCTTCATTCTTTTCTGGTTGGATGTTTCTTTCTTCCTTCTGTTCCACTCCCTTGATTTGAGTCCCAGTTTCCTTTCCATCACTATTGGTTTCCTGTGCATTTCCCTTCATTTCAATTAGTTTAGCCTCCATTTGTTCCTCTAATTTGTGACCAAAATCAACCAGTTCTGTGAGCATCCTGATCACCAGTATTTTGAACTGTGCATCTTAAAGGTTGGCTATCTCTTGGTCGCTTAGAAGTGTTGGCTCTGGCGCTTTGAGTTGTTCTTCTGCTTGAGTCATAATGTGTTGGTCTGTTTGCACCTGTTACATATAAGGGGTGAAAGCTTAGGTGTTCACAGGGGCAGGTCAACCCAGTCGCTGTGTTGTGACTGGGGGCAAGATCAGAGAGGGAGGATGGCATTTATTGGGCTCTCTCTCAGATTTCAGTCCCTTCCACAGCTTCTCACAAGCAAATTGGGCCCTTCTGGTGCTGGTTCCCAGGTGGGTGGGCTTGTGTACATTCTAGGACCCTGTGAGTCTCCCCAGCGAACCCTCCTGTGAGGCTGGGAGCCTCTCCCCGTACCTCAACCCCCAAATGTTTTTCTAATCTGTGCTTTTAGGCTTTAATTCCCATCACTGGGGTCCTTGGTTGCTCAGTCTGTCTCATTGTCTGTTTTTTTTCACCTGGTTTATCTGCACATGAATGTGTGACTGTGGTCAGCCAGCCACCTTGTGCCCTCACTGAGTCTGCCCATTGCCACCCTGTGCCTGGGAACTGCCAACTTCTACCTGCATGCCTGGGTTGGTCCGGCAGCCACCGCTTTTCCCTGCTGCGACCCCCTCCACCGGCCGCCAACTCCGCCCCTCTTACCTGTCTGGATGAATGGTTCGTTCTTGTTGGACTTTGGTACAGTTCAATTTTCTGTCTGTTTTAGTTTCTAAATCTTTGTTGTCCTTAAATTTGGTTGTGCAAGGAGATACAGTATTTCCACCTACACCTCCATCTTGGCCGGAAGTCCTTTGTTTTTCCTCCACTTATATTATAATCATCCTCAATCTCTGTAATGACTTAACAAAGTTGTTTTTCTGCTGTACTACTCTGTGGCCAGTAGTTGATTAAGCTGCTGATTTTGAATTCTTTACTCACCTCTAGATAAAACTATCTAATTAGCCCTGGCTGGTATGCCTCAGTGGATATAGTGCCAGCCCACAAAAGGTCACTGGTTTTATTCCCAGTCAAGGCACATGCCTGGGTTTCAGACCAGGTCCCTGGTTGGGGGCATGCGAGAGGCAAATGATTAATGTTTCTCTCACACATGATGTTTATCTCTCTCTTTTTCTCCCTCACTTTCCATGTCTCTAAACAAACAAACAAAAATGATCTATCTATATTTAGGGATTGGAGAGCTCCATATGGATCTTTTAGCTTTCTTCCTTTCCAAGGTCATAGACTGCATGCACACACTCTTATCCACAACTAGCCATCTTTCAAACGCATGCCAGTAATTGTTCCTTCTTTGTTAAAGTCTTCTTTGATTCCTGTAGGCATATTTTTACTCGTTCCTTTGTCCCACCTTGCTCTTAACTCTGCAAAGGTATTTTGATTTATTTGTTTATGTGTCTTTTTCTCT